GTGATGTTGAAGTATCAAAGCAAGAGTGCATAAAGGCACAAACCACTTGTTAGGCTGCTCATGCTTGCATTGCAGCCCCTCTCATTAGTCATAGCCAAGGGCAGGCCCCAGTTCACCCTTAAAACTGATAAACTAAGGGGTGAATCCACGTTTTGAACAAGCCTAGGATCAAGCTAGTCAACCCCGCGTTAGGAAGATTATGACAACTACAATAAGTCCTGCTGGGTTCTGGTCTTCAGTAAAATCCTGTTCCCGTTCGACCGAGACCCACAATACCCGACTCATGAGTCGCGTTGGACACATGTGGGTTACGGTTTGAATAAGTCGAAGCTGTTTACTCTTCAATGCAGATGCATTTTCTGGACTCTCCCTTTCTGGGATAGGTACAACGTGGGTCAGACATGCTTATGAGTCGAGTCGATTCAAGTCACTTTGAGTGGAAGTCGAGTTGGGAGTTGTGTCAAGTTGAGCAAAGACCAGACGTTTTCTTAACTGCCAGCTCTGGGCCTCATATTTATGAGCATGTGAGCGGTCACGTTGGCTCTCTTTATGATCTCTTGATGTTACTCGCAAGTCTCTGAGGTTTGTCATGTTGCCGATGGTGGATGGAATGGACCCAGTCAGCGCATTGTGGTTGTGATACCTTATGGTGAAACATGCGAAGGGTTTTACGAGTGGTAAGATTACACATAAGGGCTTCAAATGTGTTAAAAAAAGATACAGCGAAACACTAGTTACCAAGCACATGGGAAGGTGCCATGAAATTCAATCAAGAATAACAAATGAATCAACTGAATAGTAGGAGAGGGAGGATTGATATCAAACAACAAGGACTAAAGAACTCATGACATGGTGAAATATGATTGTGATACAAGCTACCTACTCTAAACGGTGCCTGATAAACAGGTGCTAAACGTTACCATCGACTATATAGCACAGTGAGCAAGAAGTAGCCCTTTCAAAAAGAAAAGCGAATGAAAACAATGGGCAATTATTTGAGCCTCACACAAACATGCAAATATGTAGACATTGAGAAGCAACACAAAGGGATACACATTACAAAACGTCAGTGGTGGTGGAAATGCATATCAGGACACGAGAATGAGTTGAAACTTGTGAGCGTGTACATTGGTCATGCCTAGCATGTATGCTCGTTCTCAAATCAAGTTGACTTGGTGTTGCCATTGCAGGCCCTCTGTGCGAGGTTATGTTGGCTCTCTTTCCTATTCCCTTCATAATACTCACAACCAATAGAGGTTTCTCATGTTGCCGATGGCAGATGGAATAGACCCACTCAGGGAATTGCGGAAAAGAATCCTGATGATACAACATACAAAAGGGTTTATGGGTGGAAAGAAACATTGAATACAGCAAGAAAATATTCCTAGTGAAAAACAGCACACTACATAAACAGTGCTGCAAGAAACAGCCCTTTTAACAAGTGAAAACAACGGGCAATGATTTGAGCCTCACACAAACGTGAAAATATGTGGACATTCGGAAGCAACACGAAGGGATAAACATTACAAAATGTTAGTGGTGGTGGAAATGCATAGCAGGACACGAGAATGAGTTGAAACTTGTGAGCGTGCACACTGCTTAGCGTATACATGGGCAAACGAGTCGAGTTTTTCCTCGACTTGTTCGAGGGACTCGAAAAGCTCGAGTTTCAAGTTTGTTTTTTTGTAAAAAAAACTCGGTTGCTCGAGTCGAGTTTTGCTCGCGAGTTAAGAAAACTCGTGAAAAACTCGGCTACCAAGCAAGTTTTTTCAAAACTCGCAAGTTTTTGGGGCTCGTAAGCATTTTGCCACCAGAACCGCCCGCGCCTAGCATTCCGCCACTAGATCCGCCCGCACCTAGCATTCCGCCGCCAGATCCGGCCGCCCCTAGCATTCCGCCGCCAGATCCGGCCGCACCTAGCATTCCGCCTCCAGATCCGCCCGCACATAGCATTCCGCCACTAGATCCGCCCGCACCTAGCACTCTGCCGCCAGATCTGAACGCACATAGCATTCCGCCGCTAGATCCGCCCGCACCTAGCATTCTGCCGCCAGATCCGCCCGCACATAGCATTCCGCCGCTAGATCCGTCCGCACCTAGCATTCCGCCGCCATATCTGCCCGCACCTAGCATTCCGCCGCTAGATCCGCGCGGCATTTCCTTTCACTAAACTGGTTTCGTGGGGTGGTGGGTAAGGGGGGTGTTTAACAACGAGTCGAGTTTTACTTGACTCGGACGAGTTTTCTTTGAACTCGTCCGAGTGTTTCGAAAAAACTCGGTAAAATGGTCGAGTTTCGAGTTTGCTTTGTGGCACAAAAAACTTGGCGAGTTTTCCTCGACTCGACTCGTGTGTGACAAAAAACTCGTCAAAACGAGTCAAGTAAAACTCGACTCGTCTTTTGCCCATGTATAGCTTAGCGGAGCGTGGTGGTGTGCCAATTGTGCACACAGACACTTGTAAACACCAACAACACTTCCATATCCAAGACCATGTTGGTGAAGAAGTGCACGGCAATGCTCTCGTGTACAAAGTGGTCGAAATGGTTCAATATGATTCTGATCACCAAGCAGCTTACAAAATGGTTGAGTTATTCCGACTCATACTGAAGAGAAGGGATCGCGGCCTGTGACGTACCTTGTTGCTACTTGACAGGCAACCATGACCAATGATCCTCTTCATCAATCACAAGCCAGGGGTCCAAGACGGTGATGAACCCAAGCCAACTTTCTTGCTCTGCTGGCTGTACTCAAGTGGAACTCTGCTGTCTTAATGATCCAAGAACTTGCTTGCTGAACTTGCGCCGACAAGCATACTATCAACTCTTTGAGAAGCCTTGTCATGCTCGACGTAAAATGAAATAATAATATCAAATACACTTATGAACAGATGGTTGTTAGTTACCATGAATTGTCCATTTGAGTTCCAATCGTATACGACCTTCATCTTCTTGCTTGTTTTTACCTCAAAGCCACAGGAAGGAGCACTACATATGGATATGGCAAGAAGAAGCTTTACATTTCATGTGAATGTGGCAGTAAATTCCACGTACATCTAACAGCAAACTGGCATACCCATGGGGGTTTGAGGGGCAGTTTTTTTTTTTTTAATCCGAGACATGATTTGTGTATGATGGAACTAATAGACGCTTTACCTGGTAAGATTGTGCCTTTGATCGTCACTGCCAGCTTGATTTCAAAGGTTCCCACTCTCGTCATCCTCCCATGTATGGAATAACCATCCTCGCCCATGTAACTTGTCGCCTGAATGTTGCAGGACCATATTTCGAGGCTAATGAGGAGATATCGGCTGCGGAAGAACCTGGTACCCACGAGGTTACCAATGTGAGTGGCGGGCTGGACAGCTGACATAATGACGCTGTTGGGAGAGATCTCCTGCTCCGCCAATGTTGGTCACCGCCGTGCACCATCTCCATCCCTAGCCCTGGAGTCAAAAGTGCACAGTGGTTCAGCCATATGTGCCAAAGTGTACCTGGATAGAGGACATTGAAATCCCCCCAGTGTCACCGGCGGTCCTCCCCTGCTCGGCTGTCATACAGCGCTGTGAAAAGGTGGGTCTGGCTGCAAGTAGAACGTAGGTTTGCCAATCAGGCCGACCCTACACCTGCCTGCCATACCTGCAGCCGTAATCTCCCCACGAATTCCACCCCGAATGGATCTCGAGTCAAATATGTGCTGGTGCATATGCTCCCTCCTCACACGAAGCTTCCTATGGGACCATCACGAGTTATGAACCTCGGCAATGGGCTTCCATTCTTCCTGCCACAGATCCGCACACTCGACCCACTGCTGCCACCTCCCTTGGTCCCGGACGCACCTGTCTCTCCTGGGTGAACTTTCCCCTGTCCACATTTCCTCCTAGGATACAGCCACCGCCACTGGTGCCATGCCAGCCTCCTTGTGGATGGGCAGGCTGAAGCTGTAGCGGAGAGGATGGAGCTTGTGGCTATCGCAGGCTTAGGAGGAGGCCAGTGTCAGAATGCTATATAGCTTATACATTTGTGTAGGCTATAGTGGGGTATCCTATAGGGGGTACAACACAATTAGGGTTAGTACTTGTACTCACTCATTTCATAGTTGATTCATTCTCGTTTGACTTTCCTCATGGTATCGAGCAGGTTCCCCCGTGGGAACTCTGCCTAGGGCCCACCATATTGAGAATTATTTTTTTCCTGCCCGAAGCGCGCTCCCCCCCCCCCCCCTTGAGTCGCGCCTCGGGCTTTCACCTCGTCGAGCCGCCCTAGTGGCCACTACGCCCTAGCGGCCCTCCCTCTCCTGCGGCCCCGCCGCCCTACGTCGCGGCCCCGCCGCCCTACGTCGCGGCCCCGCCGCCCTACTCCTGCGGCCCCGCCGCCCTACGTCGCGGCCCCGCCGCCTTTCTTGGCGGCCCCGCCGCCTTCCTCCTGCGGCCCCGCCGCCCTACGTCGCGGCCCCGCCGCCCTACTCGTGCGGCCCCGCCGCCCTACGTCGCGGCCCCGTCGCCTTTCTCGGCGGCCCCGCCGCCTTGCTCCTGCGGCCCCGTCGCCCTACCTCGCGGCCCCGCCGCCCTACATCAGCGGCCCGGCCGCCCTACGTCGCGGCCCCGCCGCCCTAAGTCGCGGCCCCGCCGCCCTACATCAACGGCCCCGCCGCCCTACCCCTGCGGCCCCGCCGCCCTACGTCGCAGCCCCGCCGCCCTACGTCGCGGCCCCGCCGCCCTACTCACGCGGCCCCGCCGCCCTACCCTTGCGGCCCCGCCGCCCTACGTCGCGGCCCCGCTGCCCTACTCACGCGGCCCCGCCGCCCTACCCCAGCGGCCCCGCCGCCCTACGTTGCGGCCCCGCTGCCCTACGTCGCGGCCCCGCCGCCCTACGTCAGGGCCCCGCCGCCCTACTCCTGCGGCCCCGCCGTCCTATCGCAGCGGCCCCGCCGCCTCCTGCTCCTGCTGCGCCGCCCTACAGCGGCACTACCGAGCCGCCCAGCAGAAGAGGAGCCGAGCCGCCATGCTGCCGAGTCGCACTTCAGCCGAGCCGCCCGGCCGCCCACCAGTCGAGCCGCCGTGCAGCCGAGCCACACAGCAGCCGAGCCGCCGAGCCGCCCTAGCAGCCGAGCCGCCGAGCCGCCCTACAGCCGAGCCGCCCGAGCAGCCTTGTCCGGTGAGCACAGCCCCTTTGTCACTGCGTGCCCTCACCCTACTGTTTGCACTGCTAGGCATCTGTCGTCATGGCTACCCCCAGTGTCCTCACTTTTTACGCCGAGGGTAGGGCCATTGACTTTGAGGTCTGGGTAGACGACCTGCAGCTGTTCTTACAGTGCGATAGGGCAGACGGCCTCTCTCTCTTTGACCTTACCTCTGGCGCTTCCCCTGCCCCTGCTGCTGATGCTGACGCCACTGTTTGCTCCCAGTGGGCCACGCGCGACGCTGCTGCACGTCTTGCTGTGCGTCGCCACCTCCGTACCTCCGAGCGTGCGCTCTTTAGTCAGTACAAGAGTGCTCAGACCTTGTACGACGCTGTAGTCGCGCGCTACTCCTCCCCTGCCACTGCTGCACTCAGCCGTCTCATGCTACCGTACCTCTTCCCTAACCTTGCTGCCTTTCCCACCGTGGCAGAACTCATTACGCACCTCCGCACTAGTGACACTCGCTACCGCGCTGCACTCCCCGCAGACTTCTGCGCCACGAACCCCCCCCCATGTACATCACTCTGTACTTCCTAGTCACTCGCTTTCCTGACTCCCTTCGAGTAGTCAAGGACCACTTTCTCTCAGTCTGTCCCACCACACTCACTGTCGACCTCCTCAAGAAGGCCCTCCTAGCAGCAGAGAAGAGTATAGTTGCTGTAGGAGCCTCTCGAGGTGACCCGCGCACCCCCATCTTTGAGGGGTGTTCTCCTTCCCCCCTGCTGCCCTCTGTTGCCTCTGGTGCTACGGCCGACCTCCTTGGTCTTGAGTCGCTCGGTGCGGCGTCTGCCCCTAGCAGGAGACGCCGCCCTGGCAAGGGCAAGGGGGGCAAGGGAGCTGGAGGAGCGGGCGGTGGAGGTGGAGGTGGAGGCGGTGGGGGTAGTGGGGGTGGCGGTGGGAGTGGAGGTGGGGGTGGGGGGGTCGGTGGCGGCAGTGGAGGCGGAGGCGGCGGCGGCGGTGGCAGTGGGAGCGGAGGTGGCGGAGGAGGCGGCGGTGGAGGCAGCGGCGGAGGCGGCGGCAGTAGCGGAGGCGGCGGAGGCGGCGGCAGTAGCGGAGGCGGCGGAGGCGGTGGGGGTGGCGGTGGAGCTGGTCGCGGGTCTTCGCAGAGGAGTGGCTCCGGTGGTGGCTCGCGCCAGCAGCAGCAGCGCGGTCGTGAGACCCTGTCCCCTCAGCAGCTCTGTGAGTGGTACACTGCACGCCAGCGGGGTGGGGGTTTTGGTCCGTGCACCTACGTCCTGCGCACCGGCGACCGTGCGGGTGAGCAGTGTGGGGGCCCGCACCCCACCCTGCGCTGCTTTGGCCGCCTAACGGACGCGTGGCGTCACCAGTTCCCGGAGGCCTAAGAGATTCCTCGCTAGGGCGAGCTGTCTAGGGCGGGTGTTGTCATCTTTGATCTTGACTTTGATGCTATTCTCTCTGTCATGTATGCTGTGTCTAATAGTGATGAGGGTGACTGCTACCGCTGTTTCCCGCCCGATCCGGGCATTGAGGCTGCTGCCCTAGGTGCTTGCGACGCTGCTGCTCTAGGTGCTAGTGTGTCTGCGTCCTCAGGTACTAGTGAGTCTGCGCTCTCAGGTACTACGTCGGCTTCGGCCTCCCTCACCTTCACCCTTGACTCTGGGGCGTCTCGCTCCTTCTCTCGGGACCGCACCACACTCACGCCGCTCAGTCGGCCGGTTGCGATGTCTCTGGCTGACCCCTCCGGAGGTCCTGTACTGTCTCGTTTCTCCACAGTCCTCCCGTGTCCAGCGGCTCCCTCTGGCACCCTGTCTGGTCTTTACCTCCCCTCGTTCTCGACGAACCTGGTGAGTGGTGCTGACCTACAGGATGCAGGTGTCCACCAGTTCACTCCTGCGCGTCACCGAGGGACACACTGTACGGAGGCTAGCACAGGCCGACACCTGGCTACGTTCACCCGTCAGCCGGGGTCGAGCCTGTACACTCTGACCACTGCGTCTCCTCCAGTTGCTGAGTCTGGTAGGGTAGCTGCGTCGGGTCAGGTGTTTGCTGCGACGTCCTGGTCTGGTCCTGAGTCTGCCCCCTGTTCGTGTCGTCTCTTGTCTTACGAGACTCTCCTCTGGCACCACCGCCTTGGCCACCCCTCTCTGCTTCGGCTCAGAGGCATAGCCTCTCATCTTCTTGTGTCTGGTCTCCCCCGGTCCCTCCCTCCCCTTCCTCAGGGCCCTGGCCCTGCCTGTGTCCCCTGTGTCGAGGGGCGCCAGCGTGCTGCCCCTCACTCCTCCCAGTTTCCTTCGACAGAGGCCCCGTTGCAGACGCTTCACATGGACGTGTGGGGCCCAGCCCGCGTCTGTAGACAGAGTCACGAGCGCTACTTCCCGCTCGTTGTTGACGACTACTCGCGTTACACCACAGTCTTCCCCTTGCGCACCAAGGGTGGTGTCACTGAGGTACTGATCGATTGGATCTGCGCAGCTCGTCTCCAGCTCAGGCAGAGTTTTGGCTCGGACTTCCCTGTTGTGCGTCTGCACTTGGACAGAGGCGGAGAGTTCTCCTCTGGCCTTCTGCGAGCCTACTGTCGTGCACGAGGCATCCGTTAGACCTTCACGCTTCCGGACTCACCGCAGCAAAATGGGATTGCTGAGCGCCGCATTGGCATGGTCATGGACGTCGCTCGTACGTCTATGAAGCATGCGGCTGCCCCCCATTTTCTGTGGCCGTTTGTGATGAGGTACGCGGCGCATCAGATCAACCTCCACCCCAGAGTCTCCAGGCCGGAGACCTCCCCAGCCTTGCTGTGGACGGGGAAGGTTGGCGATGCGTGAGCGTTCCGGGTCTGGGGATCTAGTGCGTTTGTCCGCGACTTGTCTGCGGACAAGCTGTCCCCTCGTGCTGCTCCTTGCGTCTTCCTGGGGTTCCCCCCTGACGCGCCTGGGTGGCAGTTCTACCACCCCACCTCTCGCCGTGTTCTGTCCTCCCAGGACGTCACGTTTGACGAGTCGGTCCCCTACTACCGCCTCTTCCCCTACCGCACTCCGTCCCTCCCCCCACCCCCACTCTTCCTTATACCAGGTCCCCCCCAGGTAGACCCCCTTCCCCCTCAGGGTCTTGCCCCTTCAGGTGTGTCCCACGTAGACGCAGTCGAGCCTGTCGAGGTCACTCTTGACTCTGGTGCTGCTGGGGGTGATGAGCCTGGGGGTGCTGGGCCTAGGGGTACGGAGTCTGGTGGTGCTGAGCCTCGGCGTGCTGCGTCTTGGGGTGCTGAGCCTGGGGGTGCTGAGCTTGGGGGTGCTGCGTCTGGGGGTGCTGAGACTGGGGGTGCTGAGCCTCGAGGTGCTGCGTCTTGGGGTGCTGAGCCTGGGGGTGCTACGCCTGGGGGTGCTGAGCGTGGAGGTGCTCCGCCTGGAGGTTCTCCGGGTGCTTCTTCTCGCCGGGAGCCACTCTCTCCACAGGAGCTGCGCGAGTGGTTTGCCCGGCGCTGGCGCCGTTCTGCTGGTGCTGGAGGTTCTTCGGCTGCTGAGGGTGCTGCGGTCGCGGGTCCCGGAGGTGCTCGTACTGAGAGTACTGGAGCTGCTGGGCCTGCGGGTTCGACTAGAGCTGGTGCTGCTGAGGGTATTGGTGCTGAGACTACTACTGGTGGTCCTGCTAGGGGTGCTCCTGGTGCTGCTGGAGGTTCTCGAGCTGCTGGAGGTTCTGTTGGGGCGGTTGCTCCTGCTGAGGTTACTGGTGCTGTCCCTGCTGTTTCTGGCGTCGCCATGCGGCCTCGACCGTACTTTGTTCCACTCCTGCAGCAGGTTCTTGGTCTTCCACTCCACTGGTCCGCCTCCTACCTTAAAGTGTCCACAGCTTGTCCCGTCACAGTCACAGCTACAGGCTGCCTCCCTTTTGCCTGCTCCTTCTCCCTACGCTGGTTTTACTGGAGGTCTTACTGAGCGTCGTGAGCCAGCGTCTCGTCCTGCATCGCCTGTTCGTGCTGCTCGCGCTAGTGGTCGCGGTCCTCGCCAGCGTCCTCTTCCTGTCCCTGGCATGCAACGGATGTCTCTGCGTTCGTCTACTGCTCCTCTGCGTGCCCCTTTGCCTTCCCCTCCTGAGTCCTCTCTTCCCGCTCTTGCCGACCCTGCGTCGGACTCTCTTCGTGCTGCCACTCCTGCTATCACGCGTCTCTTTGCTACTGTTGTCACTGACGCTTCCTTCGAGTCTACTGCTGCGTCTGCCATAGTTGCTGAGCTCGTCGACTTGGCTGCTCACTGTCGCCTAGACTACGCTGCTAGTCTTGTCGCTGAGTCTGAGTCTGTCTGTCCTCCGTCCGTCGGGGGTGAGTGTGCTCCTGGCACGGACGTCCTTGAGGACAGGCAGGAGGAGTTCCAGTGTCTGGCGGCTGCTTCACCTCATCTCGTGTCCGTAGTGCTTACCCCTGAGGGAGACCCGGATGCACTTGACATCCCGACTCCGCGCTCTTACACGGAGGCGATAGAGGGTCCCTACTCCTCTCAGTGGCAGGCAGCTATGGATGCAGAGATGGCTTCCTGGAAATCCACAGGCACCTACGTTGACGGTGTCCGCCCTCCTGGGGCGAACATCGTCAGTGGCATGTGGAGCTTCAGGGTGAAGCGGCCGCCGGTTTCTCCACCTGTCTTCGAGGCGCGTTACGTGGCTCGTGGTTTCAGCCAGCGGCAGGGAGTTTACTACTTTCAGACCTTCTCCCCCACCCCGAAGATGACCACTCTTCGGGTACTGCTGCACGTTGCTGCTCACCGTGACTACGAGCTGCACTCTCTTGACTTCAGCACAGCTTTCTTGCAGGGCAGCCTACACGAGGAGATCTGGCTGCGTCGCCCAGCTGGCTTCACTGGGTCTTTCCCTCTTGGTACCAAGTGGAGTCTTCGGCGTCCAGTCTACGGTCTCCACCAGGCGCCCCGTGAGTGGCACGACACACTGAGAACTACGCTTACGCCTCTTGGGTTTGCTCCTTCTACTGCCGACCCGTCGCTGTTTCTGCGCACCGACACCTCTCTGCCGCCGTTCTACATCCTCGTGTACGTCGACGACTTGGTCTTTGCCACAGCTGACACTGCTGGACTCGCCTACGTGAAGTCCGAGCTGCAGAAGAGACACACGTGCACAGACCTGGGTGAACTGCGCAGCTACCTTGGCTTGCAGATCGCCCGGGACAGAGCACGCCGCACCATTACCCTGACTCAGTCACACATGGTGTAGCAGGTTCTTCAGCGCTTCGGCTTCACGTACTCCTCGCCTCAGGCCACTCGTCTGTCTACTCGCCACTCGTTCTCAGCTCTGCCTTCGGATGAGTCCGTAGAGTCGTGTGGCCCGTACCCAGAGCTTGTTGGCTGCCTCATGTACCTGATGACCTGCACACGACCTGACCTTGCATACCCTCTTAGCATTCTCGCATGCTATGTTGCTCCTGGGAGACACCGACCAGAGGACATGGCTGCAGCGAAGAGGGTGTTGCACTACCTGTGTAGTACGTCGGGCATGGGGCTAGTGCTTGGAGGGCGGAGTCCAGTGGTCCTCACTGAGCACGCGGACGCTTCTTGGGCTGACGACCAGGCTACGCAGCGGTCGTCACAGGGTTACACCTTCAGCCTTGGTTTCGGCTCTGTTTCGTGGCGGGCTACTCGCTCGTCTTCTGTTCTTGGCTCCAATTGTGAGGCTGAGATCTACGCTGGGGCCATGGCTGCACAGGAGTTTTGCTGGCTCACCTACCTGCTGACTGGCCTTGGAGAGCCGCCTTGTTCTCCTCCAGTCCTGTATGTAGACAACAAGGCCATGCTGGCCTTGTGTCGAGAGCAGCGACTGGAGCACAGAACAAAGCACATTGCTCTCCGCTACTTTCTTGCTTGTGAGCTACAGCAGCGTGGACAGTTGCGGCTTGCGTACGTGGCCTCTGAGGCCAACACTGCTGATGTGTTTATCAATGCACTTGCGCATTGTGATCATCAGCGCTTCTGCACTCAGCTGGGTCTTGTGCCCGTCTTGCCTCACTTGCTCTCCTCTTGACCTTGATTGTACTCTCTTATATATATATACCTGCTCTTGCTTGTCTAGCTTTATATATATGTGTGTACTCTTGCACGTGAACTGGCCGTGTGGCCTTGACCCTATGCTCGAACTGTGTTGTGACTTTGTGATCCACCCTGAGCTTGCTTTGCTTTGCTTTGCTTGACTGGTCTTGTGACCCCTTGTTCTCCCCCACTTTGCCTATGGGGGTGTGTCAGAATGCTACATAGCTTATACATTTGTGTAGGCTATAGTGGGGTATCCCATAGGGGGTACAACACAATTAGGGTTAGTACTTGTACTCACTCATTTCATAGTTGATTCATTCTCGTTTGACTTTCCTCAGCCAGCAAGTTCCTCATGAGCTCCCACGTGCTTGTGGAGCACAAGGTCTGTTCAGGGTGCTTTGTGCTTGCTTTTCAAGGAGGTGCATATGCTGGCAGAGTTTTGCTGCAATTGCATGATGCAGGGGGGATGGCTGCAACTCTGCTGCTGTGGGGTTAGGGGAAACTTTGGTGGAGGCAACCCGGATGACAAGCTTGGGTCCTCCCACCTGACACGTGAGTTGGCACTGGTGAGTAGCATTGAAATCGAGTAGGAGCACATATGGTCTGCAGTCACTGTATTCAAAAAGATATTCTCGCTCGTTCCTACCTCACAGCCACTGGAAGGAGCACTACATATGAATAAGGCAATGAAAAGTTTTCTACTTTATGCGAATGTGGTGGTAAAACGCAAGATCCACATACATCCGGCAGCAAACTGGCATCTCCATGCGGATTTGACAGATTGTGGCGAGGCATACACGCTCGTTCTGGCTCGATTGGTTGCGTATCATAAATGAGCCACAGGCTTAATTAGCTGCCCACTCATCTCGTCGGCCAGTCAGTTTGTTGTGCAATGGAACGACTAAGCTGGTCATAGGCCTATGCTCAAACCCACTATTCGTAGGAGCCTTGCAGTTGTGAGTCATTTCCAACAGCTCCAAATGCTCATACGGCCGAGCTTGGACCCTCTAGTCATGATGTAGTTCAAATTGAATGGCGTGGGACAGCGTGGTTGGGCCAGCCTGTTTGGAACACGTTACGGACTGCCCTTTTTGCATGTACCGCTTGTCGATCTCAGCCTCGCAATTACTAGCCCGGCCTGTTGGGTCAGCTTGCTGCAGAAAATTCATGTACAATGACTAGTTGTATCATGGTCTGAGCCCACCAACTAGTCGCCTTGGTGCAGATCTCTGACAAACTTGCTGTAGAACCGACCTACCATAGGCCGCCCCCCAGGCCCTGGGTTAGCGGGCTAGCTCAACCCAGCACCAGCCCGTGGTCATGCCTAGCATATATGCTTGTTCTCAAATCAAGTTGACTTGGTGTCGCCATCGCAATCCCTCTAATTTCTGAACACGTACGATGTCATGTTGGCTCTCTTTCCCATTCCCTTCACGATACTCACAATGTCTGGAGGTTGCTTAGGCTACCGATGGTGGATGGAATAGACCCACTCAGAGAATTGTCGTTAAGATACCTAATGATGCAACATATGAAGGGTGTATGGGCGCACATAAAGAAATACAGCAAGAAAAACAATACCTCAATTTATGGACACATGAGTATGGCTGCATATAAGGCAGATACGATCAAACCATTGCTACAGAGCGCATGAAAACGGTGCCATGAAAGTAATAAAAAAAATAGAACTGAACTAAAATGTAGGAGAGGGATGAGTGAACATGACATGCTGATATGTGGTTTGTGATATAAGCTACCTATTCTAGAAGGTGCTTGATTGTGAGCACACCAGAAAGAAACTACTGAACTTTAACATCGAACCATCACACAATGCTGCAAGAAACAACCACTACATTTAATGAAAGCAAATGAAACCAATTGAGGTAGTCTTAAGTGTTGAACAAGCACATAGTCACGACGCGTTACACACACTCAGTTTGGCAGTTATGGGTGGCTGCAAAAGTGGAAGACGCCACGACGAGATGTGAATGTGATCATAGGACGAGGTACCTAGCCTAGTAGGTACCTCCAGGTGTTAGCACAAACAGGAGATATCATAAGGGGTGCTGGTCTAAAATGCTACGCAAGCACACAAACACGTAGAGCCAAAGGAGCAGTGAGGAGTGCACCATGCAGACCGATGATGACCAGTTGCCAAAGTGGATAACCGGTTGTACATATGGTGCTTAAATAGTGAATGATGTGCCGGGGTAGCCGAATGTTAGCATTTTGACTCTAGATAATGAATGGACAGATTGACCAACCCCTTATATTATTGTCAATGTGCACAAAAATGCACATAACCTTGCCCATGTATCTTACCGCCAGATCAGGGGCACCCTGTGAGTCTAATGTGAAGTGATTCGCAGTAAATCCCGCTCACCAGTGTGAGTGGTGAGACAGACCATCATGAGTTATGAACCACGAGTTAGTTACGAGCTACACTTCAGGACCATATAGTGAGCTACACTTCAGGACCATATAGTGAGGCTAATGTGGAGCGATTTGCAGCAAATCCTGCTCACCACTGTGAGTGGCGAGACGGACCGGCTCACAATGGTGACAGGTCGCTGTGGGCACACAGGAGGAATGGCTGCATCCTCTCTCTGCTAGATCAGGGGCACCTTACATCCCAAGTACCTCGCATTCGCGCTGGCGCAGATACTCCCTCCTCCTCATGCATAGCTTCGTGTGACTCGAATTTCGAACCATGATAGTTGGTCTCTTATGCTCCCACTACAGGTTTGCACACGCGTCTGCCCAGTGATGCTGCCTCCCTTGGTCCCAGACGCACTCTTCCCTCTGGGGGTGAAAATTACTCGTCCACATTTCCTCCTAGGACCCAGCTGCTGAGAATGATGCCATACCAGTCTCCATTATTTGTGGACCAGCAGGCAGTGCTGCAGCTGAGAGGATGGAGCTCGCTTGAGGCCATCGAACGCTCACCAAGAGGCCAGGAAGCTTCTTTGTGAGCTCCCTCGTGCTTGTGGAGCACCCAAACATGGGATCGGTGAGGGGGCTTGCTGCCGGTGTCCCAAGGAGGTGTGTGTGCTGGCAAGGTTTCTTCTACGGTTGCATCATACTGGGGGGCTGGCCGTGAATTTGCTGGGAGGCTGGAGGTATCCCTGGTGGAACACACACATAAGGTGACTCGGATGACAAGGTTGGGTCTTTTTACCTGACATGTGAGTTGAGGTGGATAAACCCTTGACGCTGGTGAATAACATTGTATCTGAATAAGACCAAACGTGGTCTCCATCCGGAGTGGACATTTAGCTCAAAAAGGACCCAAAGGAGATCGTGATCTTATTGTTTGTCACCCAAGTGTGCACACTGACAGTTTTAAAAACCATCAACGCTTCCATATCCACGATCCTGATGGTTAAGAAGTGGACGGCACGTGACTTGCAAGGTTCCTCACACGGCTTGGCCACGTGAGTGGCAGTGGCAAGTGGCACCGAGATTGTAAGTCATACCCTGCTGAGAGGACACCATCGTTGTCTGTGTCTTCGGTGATTTGCACCACTAGTGAGTGCTTTGTCGATCCCCATCACAGAGGAAAGCTCTCTCACCACGTCACCATGGGCGAGCGGGAGAGATCTCTCTCACATCTAATCAGACGGACTGCGACGAGCCATGCCTGCTTGTCCCGGCTCACGTATGTCACACAGGCCAAATCAGCCGCCCACTTGGCTGGTCTGCGAGTCAGCTCATTGTGGACCGAAACAACCTTGATGTGAATGGAACATAAGCACACTCCCAGTCAAAGGCGTCATGAGTGCATTAGCCATGTTCATATGGCTGAATTAGGGCACGCACGGTCTGGCCAGCCTCTGATGCATATGGGCTTGCAAATGGGCCGATCGTGCAAAACTTCTTGCAAGTTCAGCACGATCGGGCCAGCCAATTTGCAAGCACGAACATCTCTCTGCACTCCAAAAAGGTCATGTACTATGGCCAGTCCTATGCTCTTTGCCAGATCGACACGGATCAAACCAGCGTATTGCCGTCCTTGTGCAAATTCGTGGGCGAACCCCAGCCTATCTCCTTGCGGCAGTCCTCTCCATCACAGGCCGGCTTGCTAATTTTAGTATGTATATGAGATTAGGAAGATATATATATATATATTTATATATTGTTAATAAAGAGGGCTACCTTAGGTTTGATAAGAGGATTCCTGTTCTTTTATTAAAGCTCACTTAGGTTTGACCAAATATGAGGGCAGCTTAAAGCTCACTAAGGTTTGACCAAATATGAGGGCAGCTTGAGAATGGTTGGATTTGGTATGACGAACTGATGGTAGCTATATCTCATGGCCATGGGTCGTCATCCTTCACTGCTGGCTTGATTTCAAGGAACATCACTCTCAATATCCTGCTCACGCATGAAGAAAAACGAGTCTCCCTAGCCCATGCATCATAATTGTTTGAACATTGCAGGACTTTATTGTGAGGCTAATGTGCAGAGATCGGGGGCAGACCCTGGTTAACAGGAGGAAACCACTGTGAGTGGCAGGCTGGACTGGTGATGCGTCACCGCGGGCGGGAGAGATCTCCCTCGCAAGTGCTCTGCCAATTTTGGTCACTGCCATGCACCGCCTCCCTTCCCGGCCTTGAGTTTCAAAGTGCAAAGTGGTTCAATCATGTGGGCCAAAGTATACCTGCTTAGCGAAGCCCAAATCCAGCTTAATCTGTAGTTTCAGGAATGATTAGCCATGCAAATGAGAGTTATCGATTAAATTCCTTGGATACGGACAGGTATTCAAGGCTGATCATGTTGCCGATGGTGGATGAAATCGAACCACTGAAATTGTTAATTGATAGATTCCTGATGGTACATACAACTAGGGATGAGCAAAATCCCGAATGCCTGTTCGGTTCGCCTCGAACAACAGGCAATTTGTTTTGCCAGAATTGTTCGGGCCGAACATGTTCAACGTTCGCCCCAGAATTTCGGGTCTCCAAGCCAAATACGAACATGCTCGTGTTCGACTTGGGGGCCACGCGAACACCAAAAAGGTTCGCGTCAAAATTGGCCGCGACCAGATTTAGGTCGCGGCCAATTTGTGTTTGAGCTCATTTCGTGAGGTCAAACTCAGAACTTGTTTTCGCCTTAGCGCTCCCTCACACAGCCGCCCTAGCCTCCTTGTTCTAGGTGCAAGCAAGTGCACGCTGATACTTGCAATGTACACTGACATTAGATCTATGCATAGGGTTTAACGTAGTGTAGGGTGTTTAGGGTTACTATTTAGGTTCAGCCAGCATCTCCGCAAAGGGCTCAAGTAGGGCGTATCCTACGCCGTAGGATTCGGATCGGGCATTTCAGAGACCTAACTGTGCAGGATAACGTTTAGGAACGTGCGGCACCATCCAACGCTACCGTTGCAGGAAGGGTGTTTTAGGGTTTAGGGTCGAGGGCGGAGTTATGGCTTCCAGGGCTGGTGGATCCATAGGCCGAGGTGCAGGCAGGGCTCAGGGCAGCGCACCGGGATCTCCACCACGACCTATGCAGGGGCGAGTAGGGGATGGACCGGGAGGAGCCGGCGCGATCTTCGTTGGGGGGTTGCTTACCGTACCGGCGCCGACCTCTCGTCGCTCTTTCCGTTACGACGGCCCTCGACCCCCTCCTTCGGGGCAGACGCAGACGCAGCCGGAGAGCGGCAGTGAAGAGGAGGATGAGGAGGAGGATGGTGAGGGCGAGAAGGAGGAGGACACTGAGGGGAGCGGGGATGACAGCGAGGCGCCGTGGAACCCAGAGACACATGGCGGTGGGGAGGGGGGAGATGATGATGATGAAGACCACGAGATGGATGGGTTGGAGCCAGAGGGGCGGTAGGAGGAGGTGGGAGAGGGTGGTGGAAGGGCGGCGACAGAGGCGGGATCACAGCATGTGCGTGAAGGGGGAGGGAGCGTGGGGGTTAAGGTGGGGGGGAGAAAGGTCGTGACCATTAGGGAGCCGAGGCAGAGGAAGAAGGCCAACAAGTTGAGGGAGCGGGCGTATCCCTGCACGTTCACTGGGGAGCCCTTGGGCGAGGGTGTGATCGCTCCCGAGTTCCTAGACGAGGACGGAGGGTCCGAGAGTAGTAAGGGGACTGGCAAGGGTAATAGAAAGCCGGGGTGGCAAGTAATGATGTTCGGACAGTTAGGGGTAGACGATAAGCGTCAGTGCAAGATTTGCACAGACAGGATTTCGCGGAAGCAATCCACAACAACCCCCGGCGAGCGGCACTTTGCGAGCTTCCACACTGCGCACATGCATGTGTGGCATCACCGTTACCACACCCCATCCGTTCACTTGCCAGGGGAGACGTTTCCCCGTGGGGGCTACAAGGGAGTGCCGGATGGCTACGTATATCAGTGGCCACATGCCAAGACTTGGCCGCAGCTCGCCAAGGAGAAAGGGATGGCGATTGGTGGAGGTCATGGTTCAGGCGGGATGGAGCGGTGGATGACAACCAAACTGACCTCGGTGCAGCTACGGCAGGCGATCACAAAGCTGGTGGTCACCTGCGACCTCCCCTTCCGCATCGTCGAGGCCGAGGCTGTAAGTGCCCCATCCCATCCCATGCATGATTGGGCAAGCATGTGGTTAGTGGACGGGTCTGTCCCTTTGTGTTTTGACTGTTTGCGCGTGGCCCAGTGCAGTGCTATATTATTTTCATCCCATCCCCCTGACGTTTACTCCCCTCTCCCCCCTTGTCTCTACCCCTCTCCAGTTTCGTGAGCTACTCATCCTGCTAAACCGCAACTGCGCGCAGAAGAACTTCATCCCCTCGCGCTAGACGGTTTCCCGCGACACAGTGGTCTATGCGGCTGCCGCTCTTCAGTCAGCCATTGCGGAGATGCTGGCGAAGGAGGGGGAGCTGGGGTGCAGGGTGTCGTTCACCATCGACATGTGGACGTCGCCCAACAACAGGGCGTGGCTAGTGGTAACGGGTCACTGGATCGACGAGAATTACCAAACGCACAATGGTGTTTGAACTCCGCGAGATTCACGGGCGTCACACGGGCAAGCACATGGCGAGGGTGGTTGAGGAGACGGTGGTGCAGTGGGGGTTGGAGACGCGTTGTCTTGGGTTCACCTCAGACAACGCCTCCAGCAACACTGCCGCTTTCAGGTGGATGTCGGAGGAGGGTGGTGGCCAGTGCTTCTTCAGCTCGCGCATGCACTTACGGTACGAAAGGGAGTGTGCGATGAGGGAGTCTGGGTGCGTCGTTCCTGTGAACATGTTGTGGTTGTAGTACGGGCGGGTGGGCCTATGCGGCTTGAGAGTGGTAGTGTTTCTCGGGTCTATGCCAATGTGTACTCACACTTCCCTTTCTCTCCGCCATTAATGTTTTGTGATGTGCGCAGATGCCTGGCACACGTGATCAACCTTGCAGTGAAGGCAGCACTCGCTGTGACCGCCATCCGCAAGTTGCTGAAGATTCTGAGAGAGATGGCGTCGTGGATAGGCTTCTCGCCGCAGCGCTCAGGGAAGTTCTTGGGCCTTCAGCGGACCCTGAACGCGCAGGGCAACCCCGCCAAACCGAAGCCGGCATTGAAGCTGGTGCAGGACAGTCCCACACGCTGGGGGTCGACCCACGACATGGTCGAGCGAGCTGGGGTTCTGCAGGAACCCATCTCTGTCTTCTTTGCCCAGACACAGGTGTGTGTGTGTGCCAGGTGTTGTGTATGCGGTTTTATGTGTTGGTATGTCGGTCGGGGTGTTTTGTTCTGGGACTTGCACCACTGTTGACCATGCTTGACTAAACTTATCGGACCTCCAACAACCTCAACCACCCCACTTTCCACCCTAACACCCGCCCACCCATACGTTCTACCCGACAGGGCGTGTCGAAGGCTGACAAGGCGAAGATGGACACCTTGCGCCTGACGGACGCAGACTCGGAGACTCTGCATTCTGTCAAGACCTTCCTCAGCCCATTCGCCAAAGTCTCAAAGGCCGTGGAGGGAGCGGCGTACCCTACAGTGGCGATGGTCCTGCCGTACTACAACGGCCTGATCGACGCTATGGAGTCGCGCCTTGCCAAGGGGCCATTGGCTACGCTGAAGCCGATGATTGAGGCGGCGCTGGGTCTCTTGAAGAAGTATGAACTGATGTCAAGCAACGAGTTGTGGATCGCGACCTTCCTGGACCCTTCCATGAAGGCGGCGTGGTTCGACGACGCGCACTGGGAGACGCTGCATCCCGATACCGACCGGAGGGCGAGGCCTCGTCCCTTGTCAGGCGAGGTGATCCAGCTGGTTCGCGAGCGCGTGGCCGAGTACCAGGCCCGGGCTGCAGCGATTGCCCCTCGGCCGACCTTACTTGCCCCAGTGACGGAGGAGGAGGAGGGAGACGCGGCAGATGACGACGAAGACGCCGAGTTTCTCCCTAGTCGCCGACGCCTTGCGGCGCGTTTGTCGGCGAGCCAGGAGGCGGGGAGGGGTGGGATGGTGCAGGATGACGAGGTTGGCAGGTACTTATCTGAGAGGGTGCGGTGCGACGTGTTAGCGTTGGAGTATTGGCGCAGCACCACCAACATGCAGACGCTGAGGCGCATGGCCCAGGATTATCTTGCCATCCCTGCCACGTCCGCGTCGAGCGAGCGCGTGTTCTCCCTCGGCCGCAACCTCATTTCCTGGAAGCGGCACCGCCTAGCCTCTCAGAGGACGCGAGCTTCCATGATTCTCAGATCATGGTACACCTCACACCCTGGACAGAGGATAGGCGAGGGCCGCCGTGCAAAAGGCGAGGCACCACCAGAGTTCGCCATTGAAGGCAAGGGGGAGGAGGAGGACGACGAGTGGGAGGAGGACGAGGGGGAGGAGGAGCAGGAGGGGGTGGGTGCTGGCGACACCTCTGACGCGGAGCATGCTGTTGTTGGTAGTAGCAGTGGTGTGCAGGCGTAGGATTTAATTTGACAGTGAATTGTATATAGGCAAAACATGATGGTGTGGTATGCTGGTGTGCGTTGCATGAACACATATACACCCTCCACCCCCCTATCTATCTTCCCAACCCTCCAGATTCCCTGTTTGACCAATGTGATTATAACGAAATTGCCCACGGGCGAACTCGAACATGTTCGGTTCGAACATGTTCGAGTTCGCCCACATATACCAAATGTTCGCCCCCATGGGCGAACGGCGAACACCTCCTGCTAGCCAAATTATTCGCCGAACCGAACCTTGTTCGGTTCGGGAAATGGTGATGTTCGAGCGAACTCGAACCCGAGCGTGTTCGAGTTCGCCCTTTGCTCATCCCTACATACAACCAAAGGGGGCCAAGAAAGAGAGAGATAGAGTCAGTAGTTGGTGGGAGAGGGGAGTGGAAACAGAATGTGTAAAATCCAAGAGTGTTAAACTCGTACTTATACTAGCTTACACACACGATAATAGGAGGTGTTGGAAGTGGAAGTTGTTCCGCTCAAATTTCAAGTACCTATCCCAATAAGTGCCTCCAAGCGTGAGCGCAAACATGTTTCCTATACTTAAGTTCGACTTTCTACCACATTTTTATAAGGAGCAAACATCACAAGAATGGACAACAAGAGATGCCATGATTGGGGCTGTTCTGAATGTTGCATAAGCACGCAAACATGTGTACACCAAAGCAGGGGTGAAAAGTATAGCCTGCAGATTGATGACAAGAGGCTAAAGTGGATCACCAGATAGACAAATGTGCTTGAGACGCTGAGCTGGGATGGCCAAATGTTAACATTTAGACCGTGAGTGCAAAATGGACAACACAACCCTTGAAAATTTTTGTCCATGTACATGAGAAAACAATTTGGAGGCTCCGCTTGTGGGGCCTGATAGCCTAGCATTTCTTCATAGTTGAGGTTGTGACTACCAACAGATCTATAGAGATAAGCACGCGAAATCATGGTTACAGCACTTACTCCAAGGGGGAATACAAGATCCCAATCTCCCATTGCAGATTCAGAGGGGAATGGCAAGTTTTCCTAGCTCAAAAGGGATGTATGCAGTCACAAGTGAAACCGGGGCCGGTTGGATTAAATTTTATCTTCACAGTTATACAGGTGTATATCTTGCTCATCTGGCAATGAGTGAGCGTTTGGAACAGATTGGCCTTAAGAATTATCATCTAGCGGATTTGATGGGAAGATGGTTCATGAGAAAAATTGGTGAGCTCACGATTAGCTTAGTGTTTACCATTTCAGAGAGAGGCGGCTTATTAGTAGTTGGTGGAGCTAAGACTCGATCAGGAAGTAATGGCGTCTTAGAGTATGCTGGAACTCATGGAAGTTATTTGTGGTCTTCTTGGGACTTTTCTCTTCATGACAAGTCTAATCTGAGAGGTTTTCGCTTTCACTCCTTCCATGTATGGAGGATTCAACATCTCCCTATGTGGAGAGTTCGGCTACAGACCCATCCCGACCCGACCCAATTTTCCTGACCCGGCCTTTTACAGATGGGTCATTTTCGAACAGGGCCTCGGTCAGGTCAACCCGAACCAGGGTCGGGTGTTTATTTGTACCCTCTTCTTGCCAGCCAATCTGAGCGGATCGGCGGTTTCACCTGCCGATCTGCCTGGATCGGGAAATTCCAAAGCTCACCGCTGATTCACCACTGAGGTTCTCCCGTGCGGGCCAATGTGCCTCATACTTCTATGAGCTTAATTTTTTACGTGAGCATCTTCCGACTCACTCCCCTACTTGAACGTCATCACAGGACTGAGCGCAGAGTGCTCGTTGGTCAATACGCTGGTTTCGCAGCACGAGGCATATGCCTGCCCATCCGGACGGGCCCCACACCTACCGAACCTTGTCGTGGGTGCAATGTACCCGGTGCATCATCTGTGTTGGTAGCTGATACCTCAGTCCTTGGATGAGATTCCCCTGGTTATGCTAGCATTGGTCCAGAGGGGGAATGTTGGCTGACTCTCTCGCCAGTCCAAGGGCACCTTCCACCCCAAATGCACCGGTCCAAGAACAACCTTGCGACACATAGATTATTGTGAGATTTACGTGGCCATCATGATTAAATATCTACACCCAGTATTACCACAAGCTTTTACCCTCGGATCGTAAAAAAGGTCGCAAGGATCCTGGGCATGTCGTACGAGGTTTGCGCGGGGCTATGATTCAAGGCAAACCAGTGCAGTTCGACCTTTGACAGGCTGGCCGGATTCGGACAGGCTCGCCAATTGTTCAGCCCAGACCAAGTTTTCATGTTTGCTTATGCCTCGCGCGGGGTACATTACTGGTGATGGCATCCGTCCTTCGCACATACTCGTGCGTTGTTGGTAGGACCCATATATTGGTGTATAGGGGGAATGGCGCCAGAATCTCCCCACCACTTCAGTTCCAGAGAATTTCACGCTCAATCTCGTGCCCACGTTTGGAAGATTCAAAATCTCTCTTGCCCATATACCTAGAAATTTGAACATTACAGGGTCTTGTCGCGAGGCTAATGAGCAGAGATCGACAGTAGACCCCCGGTACCCAAGAGGTCACCACTCTGATTTGCGGCCTGGACTGGTGAAACGTCACATGGGCGGGAGAGATTTCCCTCGTATCTGCTGTGCCAACGTTGGTCACCGCCATGCACTGTCTCCTTCCCCAGCCAGGGCTAAAGTGCACAGTGCTTCAGCCATGTGGGCAAAAGTGTACTTGGTTAGCAAAGCCTGAAATCCTCCTTTTCTCAGCAGCCATCATCCCCTGCTCGGCTGTCATTACAGTGCTGAGAAAAGGTGTGTCGGGCAGCATGCGAAGCGTAGGTCTGCCAACCAGGACGGGCTCCATACTTGCCGGTCGTTGCTGCAGCTGCAAA